AGCTGGGTCAAGAGTGTGGCACTCTTGGTGGGCAGTTGAGACTAAGCACAAAATCAGAATCCCAAAGGCTTTGGAGAGGAGCCTGGTGAGTCCATGCCAGAGACTGTCTCGAAGAACTAATGTAGGAAAAGCCAAGAAAGATTTGAAAAAGAGAAGAGACATGCTTTTCAACATGTGCAAAAACATTACAAATAACGATGAAGGGGTGCCTGGGTGGCTCAGGTGGTCAAGCATCTGCCTTCAGCTCAGGTCATGATCTCGGGGTCCTGGGATCAAGTTCTGCGTCCCTGCTCAGTGGGGAGTCTGCTTCTCCCTCTCCCTCTTCCCCCTGCTTGTGCTTGCTCTCTCAAATACATAAAATCTTAAAAAAAAAAAAAAAAGCAATGAAAACATGATCTTGTTCAGCACAATTATAAAAAAGGTCAGTAAAGCAGAAAACAAACCCAGAATCAGAGTACTTACAAGCCGTGAGTCAGGACTGACTGCAAATAGGAGAAAACCTAAGATAACCAAGCTGCTGGCAGCTCTGCCGTCCAAACCAGCCAACCGCTGGTCCACCACATCTACCAAAAGCCCTGGCAGGAACTCCCCTCAACTCTCATTGGTCTCTGGATTAAGTGTCCATCCCAGGAACAACTGAACTGGGCCCAAAGGGTGGGTGCTGTGACTGGCCCCCAGGGAACATGCCAGCTCTGTAAAATCAGCATCCCTTTCTGGAAGGATGTGGGGAAGAGTGCTAAGGAGACAAAAAACAAAGCCACTGCAAATGATCATTTAATCCATGATAAAGATGGTATTTCAAGTCAGGGACAAAAAGAATTCAATGGTGTAAGGACAGGTAACAACTCATTAAAATAAAAATCAGATGCATTAAGCCACATCTTGTTGAGAAAAAAGTAGAAAAAGATCAATGAATGATTCAATTTTTAAAGGTCATTTCACATACGGAAAGAATATGTAACTGGGTTGCAAAAAAATTTCCTGTGCTCTATTTCTTTCAAACAAGAAATAGCACTATTTCATCATGGCATGTAAATTTATAGGGCAGAAAGCAGTCACTGAATCATTTTCTTAAAATCATTCTTGCTCCCAAATTCCTGTATCTAACCCTTCTGAATTACAGAATATTACATATATACACCCATATATGTATAGGCACACACACTCCTCTATAATATATAAATACACCTCTGCACCATTAGGGTGCCTTGTAGCTCCAAGTAACGAAAAATCTCAACTCCAACAGGCGTAAGCTATAAGGGACATTGAAGACCTCGGTCTTCCCAGTACGGAGCAGCTTTGGAGCTGGTTAATTCACCACTCTGTGTGCTCCCTGCCCTTGGCCCTGCCCTCCCTCAGCTCACCATCCTGACTACCAGCCTCGAGTCACAAGATGCCATCAATGGGCATCCAGATGGACAAAGGCCATTCTGTTCTCAATTCTTTATCGATGACAAAACCTTCCCCCCAGATCACTGAGAATACTTTGGTGTCTGGTCATACTGCCAGCCCCAAACAGCCTCTGACGAGGGAGGAAACACAGGCCCCATCGAGGCCCTCTGACAAGGAAGGGGCGGACAGCAGGTGCCAACCTGCTTCAAAGAAGCTGGGTGAGGTGGGGAGCCAGGCTCAGGGCACAGCCTCTGGAGCCCGTTGCCCTCACATGGGGGCTCCTTCCATCGAGCCTCGGCAGGCGCCCTGTGAATCCCACCTGGAGTGGGAAAGAAGGGGTTTTCTACACACAGCGCGGTCTCCGCATGACAAGCACCACTGCTTGCCGAAAGCTGCACCCCAGCCTCTGCACACTTGAACAGGGTTCATTAAACCAGCCAAGCCCAAGACAAACACTTTTCTGAAGGCATTGTTTGGCTTCTTTATTGACACGCAGATCAGTAACAACAGGCATCACTGTATATGCCAAAAAACAGAGAGAATAGCTAAGTGGTGAGGTGCTTTTCCAAAACCTTTAACATCTGTCAGAACTCTGTTAAGAAAAATAGTGAACTCATGTGCCAAGCACCGCGCTCAGCACTTGCTCAAACTGTTTTTTCCTATTTTCTGCTTCATCTAATTATGCATTCTTGTCCTGAACCCCTTCACAGCTGCAGCCATGACAGCTCGCCTCTGTTCTGCATGGTGTTCTAGAAACTCACATTCATAACCACCATTACCACACTGAAGAGAAGTACTCTAATTCCCTAACATCATCTATGCCATTCCACATTTAAATCCCTCCAAAGGTCTCCGAAGTACCTGCGTGGATGTCTTTTTGAGCTGGATGGTTTCTGGATCCAATCAAGGATCACGCACTGCATCGGGTTAGGTCTCGTTACTCTCTCTGGATTGAAAGAGCCCCCTGGCCTTTTCTCTTTCTAAAATGACACTGACTTTTGAAGAGACCAGGCCAATTGTCTTGGTGGATGCCCCCCAGTCTGGATTTCTGTTTTGTCCACGGAAGCTGCTCTCTCTCGTATTTTCTGTAAACTAAACAGTTCTATGAAGTACTCTGGCAAGAGCCTGCCACAGTGTGACGTTGGACCCCACGCCGCACCTCAGCAAGAGCCACACGATGTCACCACTGCTGATGGTGCGTTTCCCCACTGGTGAAAGGGGGCACTTCATCGTTCCCCTGTAAAGGCATACCTTTTCCAGGGCCAGTGAGGAAGACATCTGTGGGAGGTTCTCTGGCCCTGCACACATACGCTGTTTCCTTTGCACCTAGTGATCCTTGCATCCATTGACAATCTTTGCCTAGATGCCCTAGGGGTGGCAAAATGGCCATTTTTCAAATTCTATCATTCCTACATTTATAAGTTACACTTTTCTAGAACAGTCAGCCTCTCACAACTGCTTTTACTAAAAGGGCAGGGTGAAAATACTTTCCTTCTAATTACAGAATAAAGAGCTTGTGTAAGATTCACCTATAAATCTGGAAATAAGCTCAACCCCCTTTCTCTCTGTATTGATGTGGACACAGATTTTTGTTTATTCAAATGTTGTAGAGTCAGTTACAGTCATTCTGTTGGACCATCAAAGTACCTCAAATTTGGCCAGGGAGAAACCCTGCAGGGTAGCTTCTGGGACCATTGACACATCCCCATTAATCTTTGAGTACTCCCTTGCTTTCTGACACAAGAGGTCCCAGCTTGGGGTGCCTGGGTGGCTCAGTCGTTAAGTGGCTGCCTTCAGCTTTTAGGTCGTGATTCCAGGGTCCTGAGATTGAGCCCCGCATCAGGCTCCCTGCTTGGCAGGGAGCCTGCTGCTCCTTCTCCCACTCCCCCTGCTTGTGTTCCCTCTCTAGCTGTCTCTGTCAAACAAATAAAATCTTTAAAAACAAAAAAAAAGAGGTCCCAGCCTCACCCAGGACACCTCAGGCCCGGACCTAGAACCAGCTGTTTCTCCAGGGAGTCCTGGTTCCTCGAGAGGGAAATGCTAGCACCAAGTCTGCTCATCTGTGGGGGCTGCCCCTGCTTCTAGGCCCTTGGTGGACAGAGCTCAGAGATACATACACTTTTTAAAAATAATGACTCATACTTTCAGTTCATATTTCTTATTATGGAGAGTTTTACATAAATTCTTCCATTTGTATGGTCATCTTTTAAACTAGGAAGTTTGACTCCTGGTAACTTTAAGTTTCCTTTTGCCTTATCTTACAATATACATGAACTAGATCCAAAATAACACCAATAAATGAGTGGTGTTTATTTCTTGCAGATCTTTGTCCTTAAACATATCCCATTAAGGATGTATAGTCATAATTCTGCATTCAGAAGTTTCTCGTAAGAATTCTGTGTGGTTACCAATTTGATATAAAGTTGATTTCTCTATTTTCAATTTCAGAATGCTTTTCCTATTTTTTAATATATAATTTACATTTGTTCAAAAGTCAAAATGTCATAAAAAGGTATAGGCAAAGAAAGCTTGCTTCCATCCCTGATTCCACCCTGTTCACTCCTGCCTCCATAGGAATTCATTTTTATATCATAGTTTATCCTTCTAGTATTTCTCTTTGCAAAAAATAAGCAATTGTGTATCTTACTTCCTCTCAACTCTTACATAGAAGGTAGCGTGCTATATGGTGAAGTGTACTTTGCGTTCCTCACTTAACAGCATGTTGGGGTGTAGTATTTCAAATTTGTCAAACGTGTCCCCTATAATGCATACTGTACTACAAACACGAAAACACACTGGGGGCATTTAGCGTGAGAAATCTGTCATAATATTAAGCTATGGGGAGATACTTCCTACTGACACCTATTTCAACAACAGCTACGTAAACCAAACGTACACATGTGTATGTGCGTACAACATACCAAAGCCTCGCTTACTCAGCTGCATCTCAGCCACCCGGTGCTGTGAGCTACAGCCACCACTGTGTTCTTCCAAAGGCCTCATAATCCCACAATGAGCACCATTAGCACCTGATGTATCTTATGCCACATCTTCAAAATCTGGTACCACATCCAAATCATGACTTCTAGTGTTCTATTATTTCTAGAGAAAACTTATCCACATTTCCCAAATTGATAGATTTCCCCCTGAAGATTAATTCCTTTCTTACACAGTTTGATTTTTTCCTCAAAAGCTTTCATGCATGTAAAACATTGATATAGTTCCACTCCAATATCAATTACCTGATGATCAGTAAGTTGTGACTCTGTAAATGCCTTTATACTTCTGTGGCATTCTTTGTGACTTGAACCCCGTGATTGATTCCTCTGAGACAGGGTAGAATGTATGTTTACAGGACATTCTCAGGGCTCTCTCCATGCGAGTTCTCTGATATTTCATAAGGTATGACACAGAAACCTTCCCAGTATCCATTCCAGAGAGAGCCCACCAACCCCCACCCAATGTGTGTCTTCTAATGCCAATTAAAGACTGAATCTCCACAAGAGGAGGTCTCCACATTATTACAGTCCCAAGGTTTCTCCCATGGGTTCTCTTGGTGTTGACAAAACTCGACTTCACACAGGAGGGTTTTCCACATTTGCTGCACCTTAGGGCATCTCTCTTGTGTGAATTACCTGATGTTTCGTGAGAGTCGACTTCTTGCAGAAGGACTTCCCACATTCGTTACATTCATAGGGCTTCTCCCCTGTGTGTGTGCGCTGATGAACTGTGAGGGTCGATTTCATACAGAAGGATTTCCCACATCGCTTACATTCATAGGGCTTCTCCCCTGTGTGAGTCCTCTGATGATTAATGAGGTTTGACTTCACATAAAAAGTCTTCCCACATTCCTTACATTCAAAGGGGTTCTTCCCTGTGTGAGTTCTCTGATGTACAGTGAGGTGTGATTTCATACAGAAAGATTTCTCACATTCATTGCATTTATATGGTTTCTCTTCTGTGTGAGTTCTCTGATGTATGGTTAAGGCTGACTTATAACAGAAAGATTTCCCACATTTGTTACATTCATGGGGCTTCTCCCCAGTGTGTGTTCTCTGGTGTTCAATGAGGTGTGACTTCTGGAAGAAGGTTTTTTTACATTCCTTACATTCATAGGGTTTCTCCCCTGTGTGTGTGCGCTGATGTTTAGTGAGGTGGGACTTCTGGAAGAAGGTTTTCCCACATTCTTTACATTCATAAGGTTTTTCCCCAGTGTGTATTCTCTGGTGTTGACTGAGGGCTGACTTCATATAGAAGGATTTCCCACATTCATTACATTTATAGGGTTTCTCCCCTGTGTGAGTTCTCTGGTGTACCGTTAAAGTTGACTTATGGCGAAAGGTCTTCTGACATTCGTTACATTCGTAGGGTTTCTCTTTTGAATGTGTCCTCTGATGATCGGTGAGATTGGACTTCATAGAAAAGGCTTTCCCACATTCAGTACATACGTGGGGTTTCTTTCCCGTGTGATTTCTCTGATGAATATTAAGAAGCGACTTCACATAGAATGACTTTTCACATTCATTACATTTAAAGGGTTTCTCTCCAGTGTGAGCTCTCTGGTGTATGATCAGGGTGGATTTCATATGGAAGGCCTTCCCACATTCGTTACACTTGTGTGGTTTCTCCCCTGTGTGAGTTTTCTGGTGTTTAGTGAGGGCTGATTTCTTATAGAAGGACTTCTCACATTCATTGCATCCATAGGGTTTCTCCCCCGTGTGGGTTCTCTGATGTACTATTAGGATCGAATTCATAGAGAAGGCTTTGCCACACTCATTACATTCAAAAGGTTTCAAACCAGTGTGAATTTTCTGATGTTTAGTGAGGTTTGACTTCACACAGAAGGTTTTCCCACATTCATTACAGTCATAGGGTTTCTTCCCTGTGTGAGACACTTGATGGATAATTAGGGCTGATTTATAGCAGAAGGATTTCCCACAATCGGTGCATTTATAGGGTTTCTCTTCTGTATGCTTCCCCTGATGTACGTGCAGGGCTGACTTATAGTAGAAGGACTTCCCACACTCATTACATACATAGGGTCTCTCCCCTGTGTGTGTTCTCTGATGGTCAGCAAACTGTGACTTCTGTAAGAAAGTTTTCCCACACTCATTACATTTGAAAGGTTTCTCACCTGTATGTGTTTTCTGATGTTTAGTTAAGTTCGATTTCACACAGAAGGATTTCCCACATTCCTTACATTCATATGGTTTCTCCCCAGTGTGAGTCCTCTGATGATGATTGAAGTTTGATTTTGCATAGAAGGATTTCCCACACTCGGTGCATTGATAGGGCTTCTCTCCTGTATGAATTCTCTGATGGACTTTGAGGGCTGAGCTATGACGAAAAGACTTCTTGCACTCGTTACACACATAAAGCTTCCCTTCTGACCGTGTTCTCTGCTGATCAGTAAGGGCTGACTGCACAGGGACTTGGTTGCATTCACTGGGTTTCTCTCCTGCGTGAGATCTCAGAGGGTCCGGGGGTTGTGATTTCTGAAGGGTCTTCCCAGATTTATTACTTCCACAGGGTTTCTCTCTTGTGTGTGTCTTCTGGTGCTGAGTCAGGTGGGACTCCTGGTAAAAAGATTTCCTGCAGTGACTACATTCAAAGGTTTTCTCTCCTGTGTGAGTTTCAGGAGGTTGAGTGACATGGGACTTCTTGCTGAAATTCTCATTTTCATTAGATTCCACATTGATTTTCTGATGTTTTACGAGGGTTGACTTCAGGCACTCGTTGACCTCACAGTGATTCTTCCTTGTGTGAGTTTCCTGAAGGACTTCGAGGGCTGACTCATCACTGATACTTCCCCCCTGTTCCTTATAATCGCAGGATTTCTCTTCTGTTTCAACCCTCGTAGGTATAAGGATGGCTGTCTTATTAAGGAAGGTTTCTCCACCTTCATTATCTTCAGAAAGTGGTCCCAAAGTCTGCATTTTCTGTTGCTTAGTACGGTCCTCAGTCTGACTTGGGGATTTCCCATCTTGGTCATGTTCGTCCGATTTCTTTCCAGTATGAGTATTTCCTTGGTTATTATCAGAAAGCAACTTCCCGCATACATTAATTTCATCAGAGTTCTTACTTGAATGATTGTTATCACTAATAATTAATTCTGAAACATTTTTCAAACTCTTTCCACGTGAGTCATCTTGACAGGGTGTTTCTCTGAAAACATTATCTCTCTTCTTAGTCAGTGATTTTTTGTTGATGAGTGAAACTCGCCACAAATGTTTGTCTTGGTTTTCCTGGCTTTTGTCTATAAGGTCATAAATAAGAAAAATTAAGTGTACTTTAAAAATGTTAACACATTTCCTTTGATTACCAAGATCAAGATAATTAAAACATCTATCACCATACTTAGCTAGCCCAGGTAAATTGTGTGTGGTTAGAATGATCAACATCTACTCTCAACAACTTTCCACTGTACTTATTGTACTATTAACTATGGTCACCTTGCTGTGCATCACATCCCCAGAACTTGAAGTAAGTCATTTTTAAGAGGAGGAAAAAAATCAAGCTAATTTCAGACATCCATAATAGAATTCAGTGCTAAAATTAGCAGTGGAGAAAAATTACAAAATCCTTAAAGGCTAAAAGTAAATCCCAATAATTTTATATGTAGACAAAATGGCACACCAATAAGTCTGAATATGCAAGAATGCAGGGAAGTATTGTTCTCATGAATTCTTAACCTACTAGCAAATGAACTTGTCAAGAAATGGTGAAATGTAATACAGCAGAAGACTCCTTCTGAGGACTGACTTGTTCAACAAGCCTAGAACTAAAGCAGGGACTGGCTATCAGAATAGAATTAAAATATAAAGGACTTCAGATTTTAGAATTATCAGATGTTAAATTTTAAACTTCCCCCAAACTGCTCCTCCCCAATCTCCCATGTTGGTAAACACATCCCACCCCCATTATCATGTTGCTCCAACTAACCCCTTGCCTCGTCCCTCTCTCACAGGCCACATCTGACTCAGTGGCAGATCCTCCTCTCTACACATGCAGCCCCACCTCCTCACTTGCACCAGCTCAGAACTCGAAGCCCCCATCACTTCTCATCTGAACCACTGCAAGCATGTCTGCTCCACTGAGAGCGGAAACCATCCACACCCACACAGCCCACTACCTACATTAACCTGACTAGTATTCGGTCTGCTGAGAGCTGAAACCGTCCACACACCACACAGCCCACTATCTACATTAACCTGACTAGTATTCTGTCTGCTGAGAGCTGAAACCGTCCACACACCACACAGCCCACTATCTACGTTAACCTGACTAGTATTCTGTCTGCTGAGAGTTGAAATCGTCCACACACCACACAGCCCACTATCTATGTTAACCTGACTAGTATTCTGTCTGCTGAGAGCTGAAACCGTCCACACACCACACAGCCCACTATCTATGTTAACCTGACTAGTATTCTGTCTTCATAATAGGACTTTACTGACTTTACTACTCCAGGAAACTCGCCTGGGAAGGAAGGTTGCAAGTAATTTTACTGTTCAGAATCCTCCCCCAAAACCTTTTATTTATTTATTTTTTGAAGAATTTATTTATTTATTTGCCAGACAGACAGAGAGAGAAAGCACAAGTAGGCAGAGCGGCAGGCAGAAGGAGAGGGAGAAGCAGACTCCCCACTGAGCAAGGAGCCCGATGCGGGGCTCAATCCCAGGACCCTGGGATCATGACCTGAGCCGAAGGCAGACACTTAATGACTGAGCCACCCAGGCGCCCCCCCAAAAACCTTTTAAACAAACTGTTCAACTTTCCAACAAATAAACTTATTCTCCAAGACTCTTCAATCCTTGTTGTGTCCACACATCCTAAACTATTATATTATGGTCCTTACTCAATGGTTATCAAGCTCCTGTGTTAAAAATATACCTGAAACCATGCCCTCAGATCCTATAAATAACCTGACTTTGTTCACCTCCCTCCGTGGCACTACTCAGACTGTCAGGGTGAGCAATAAATTAAAATCTACCATATCAGTGGGTAACTCTGGCGGTGCTCTGGGGGAGCCAGCCCTGCGTACTGTCTCTGCTTCTACTTTCATCAACTACCCTCAGGCCCACCTCTGATTTTCTCTGGACAGTAGCCAGAGAAAATCCATTAACAGTTGTCCATCTCACCTAAAGCAGAATCAAAGCCCCTACCCTTGTCCTGTAAGACATCGTCTAGGCTCTGGCTGCCCCTCTGACGTCATCCCCTACCAGCATCCCTCTCAGATGCACCCCTGCTGGCACAACGGCCCCCTGCTGTTCCCAGAGCACTTCAACAAACACCTGCCACAAGGGCATGGCCTGGCTATTCCTTCTGCCTGGAACCCCCAGAACCCTGCTCTAATGCGGACCTCATCAAAAAGGCATTCTCAGAGCACCTTTGAAAAGAGCATACCCCACTCTCTAGCTCCTTTGAGACTGCCTTAGTTCTCTTCATGGGTCTTGTCAGTACTTGATAAGTAAATTGTTTCGTTTACACCTATCTTCTCCTGCTGGCTTGTAAGCTCTAAGAGCTCAGGAGCATTGTTAGGTTCACCGGCATATCTCCAACACCAAGAACACGAGTAGCATGTAGTAGGAATATCTGAAGAATGAATGAATGAATGAATGAATGAATGAATGAATGAATGAATGCCTGAGGGAAAAATAAAGAGGAAATAGTTCATGAGGGGCGCCTGGGTGGCTCAGTCGGTTGAGTGTCTGCCCTCGGCTCAGGTCATGGTCCCAGGGTCCTGGGATCAAGCCCCGCATCAGGCTCCATGCTCAGTGGGGAGCCTACTTCTCCCTCTCCCTCTGCCTGCCTGCCTACCTGCCTACTCGTGATCTCTGTCAAATAAATAAAATCTTAAAAAAAAAAAAAAGAAAGAAAGAAATAGTCCATGAAATGGAGGAAGATGAATACTAGGGAAAGAAACTGAAGACAAAGATCTAAGATCAGGCAGGCAGGGGTTCCATATTGGCTATCGGGCAGAAAAGGGCAGCACTGGTATTTACAAGCGATGGACCGGGGTGATTTGGGTGATCAGAGGCCAGCTAGCTCGCTGTTCAGCTACTTCCGAAGGTCTGAGGGCTCAAAACTGAATTACAGAGACACATACCAACCTCAGAACCAACCCATCTGGGACCTGATTTCTGTGGGCTTCTTCCTTCCTCCACAATGACTGACTCACCTTGATCACCCTGGTCTGGGAATTCTCCCCCTGATGGCCACAGCTCTTCTCCTTGCTCCAGCCTGAAGATCACCTCTGGTTTGGTGAGGTGACACCCTGTGAGTGGGATACAGGGTAAAACATGTCAGAGCTGCTTGGATATCAGGGCCCCTGGAGCACGAGGAAGGTGCAGCTTCAGGAGCCACATGATAAAGGTGCCGTGTGTGCCTTGCATTAGGGAGGCCAGAACACAACGTCCTTTCTGAGCCCGATGGGAACATCTCTGACCCACGAGATCATGAGATCTACACACAGTATCATTAAACACTCCTTCAGGGGCCCACAAACTCTGGCGGCTACGAAGGAAGAAAGGAAATGCATGCGAGGAGACGTGACACAGGGAACAGCCCTCACCCACTGAGACCAGGTGGCTGTAGTTCTCCAGCATCACATCCCGGTACAGTGTCCTCTGTGTGCCCGTCAGCTGTAGCCACTCATCCCGGGTAAAGTCCACAGTCACGTCCCTGAACGACACGGACCCCTGACCAGCACATTTCTGTTCAAGCCAGAGAGAGGAGTACAGGGTGACATGAAACACACATGTGACAGGGTGACATGAAACACACATGTGGGAAACAAGTCTTAACATGTTTGAGAGGTCACCATAAAACAGTAGGTAAGTTGCCTATTCTATACCTTCTTTCGTTTTTACTTTGTGGGATAAAGTGATATGATGGGAAAACCCAGAGAACCCAGTATTAACTAGTTAATTCAAACAAAAAAACTAAAGTTCCTACTGTGTTTCTGAAACTGTCTTAACCTGCCAGGAATATTAAGCTAAACCAATTCTGGTTTTTTTCCTGCCCTTAAGGAGCCTAAGTCTTTTTTTAAGATTTATTTGTGGGGAGGGGGGTGGGGGGATGGGTTAGCCTGGTGATGGGTATTAAAGAGGGCATATTCTGCGTGGAGCACTGGGTGTTATGCACAAACAACGAATCATGGAACACTGCATCAAAAACTAATGATGTAATGTATGGTGGTTAACATAACAATAAAAAAATTATTAAAAAAAAAGAAAAAAAAAAGATTTGAGAGAGAGAGAGAGAGATAGCACATGAGTGGGGGGAGGGGCAGAGGGCAAGGGAGAGAAGCAGACTCCCCACTGAGCACAGAGCATGACACAGGACTCAATCCCATGCCCCTGAGCTCATGACCTGAGCTGAAACCAAAAGTCAGACACTCAACTGACTGAGCCACCCAGGTGCCCCAGGAGCTTAAGTCTTAATAAGGTGACAAATCACATTTATGAACACATCCTGTAATAAGGTATCAGGAGAGCTGTGACAGAGTCATTTACAATGAGTATTAAATAATGGTAGAAAACACAGTTCTCTTTTGTATTGTCAGGTTTGGCTTCACTTAGCAGGAGATCTTTGTTAATGTGGCACCATTACATAAGCAGAGCCAAGGAGCCGTGAGAAGAACCCAGAAGTGTGACAGGAGAACAGTGTGCCGGACTATGAGAAGATAAAGATCTGCAAAGATGTCCAGGGATACGTTACAGAGCAAGTCTGGGTTTATTCCTGTACTTTAGTGTCTCCAAAATAGTTCACCGCCACCTTAGCAATAAAGTTTGAGCACCTCCAATTTATTTCTGTCTTAATACATAATATATACATCCTACCAATCTTAATACATAATATATACATCCTACCAATCCACACAAGCTTATAATGATAAGCTTAATACATAATATATACATCTGTCTTAATACATAATATATACATCCTACCAATCCACACAAGCTTATAATGATAAGCTTAATTTGTCTTTTTTCTTTTCCTGGCTGAAAGTTAAATGTAGACAACCTACTGTTTCCTTTCTGCTGGAGCATCCCGGGCCCTCGGCAGGTGGCAGGTGTGACCCTGAAGATGATAAGGAACCAGCGAGGACACAAAAGCAATCACTGTTACAGTTCTCAAATCAACAACCTAACTTTACAACTTAAGGAACCAGAAAAAGAAGAAATTAAACCCAAAACCAGCTGATGGAAGGAAATAATAAAATTAGAGCAGAAATATAACAGAAAAATAGATAAAATGAAAACAAAAGCTGGTTTCTGAGGAGATGAACAAAACAGACAAACTTTTACCTAAATGGACTAAGGAGAAAAAGAGAGAAGACTCAAATTACTAAAATCAGAAATGAAAATAAGGACATGTATACCACTTCTGTTGAAATAAAAAGGTTTATAAGAAAGTACTATGAACAACCGTATGCCAACAAACTGGATAACCAAGAGGAAATGGACAAAATTCTAGAAACTCGAAACCCAGTCAAGACTAACTCAGGAGGAAAATAGATGATCTGAATAGAACTGTAACTAGTAAGGAGACTGGGTCAGTAATGAAAAGTATCCTGACAAACACACATCCTGGACTCATGAAGTGAAAACACACTCATCATCACTGATCATTGGGGAAATGCAACTTAAAACTACAATGAGAAACCGCCTCACACCCATTAGGATGGCACCTATAAAACACACACACACACACACACACAAACACGTGCTGGAGAAGATGTGGAGAAACTGGATCAATCCCTTGTGCAATGCTGGTGGGGATGTGAAATGGAAGGGCATGGCAGTTCTGAAAAAAGTGAAAAACAGAATTACCATACCCAGTAATTCTACTTCTGGATAAATACCCAAAAGAACTGAAAGCAGGGTCTTGAAAACATTTGTACACCCGTATTTACAGCAGCATTATTCACAATAGCTAAAATGTGGAAGCAACCCAAGTGCTCATTAACAGATGAATGGATAAGCAAATGTGGTATATACATACAATAGAGTGTTACTCATCTTGAGGAAAAGGAAGGAGGTTCTGACACATACTACAATATAGATGAACCTTTAAGACATCACGTTAAGTGAAATAAGCCAGCCACAAAAGGAAAGCTACTCACTTACACGAGACAGTATCATACAGAGAACAGAATGGTGGTTGCCAGGGACAAGGGGAAAGGAGGAATAGAAAGTTACTGTTCAATGGGCATAGAGCTTCAGTTTTACAAGATTAAAAGAGTTGTGGGAACAGATGGTGGTGATGGTTGCACAACATTATGAAAAAAAAATCAATGAAACCAAAAGCTGATTCTTTGAAAAGATTACAAAAAAAATTTGATAAACCTCTAACCAGGCTTTCTACAAAAAAGAGAGAGGACACAAATTACTAGTATGTAAAATGAAAGAGGGGACATATTACTACAGATCCTAGGGATGAATAACTCTATGTCCACAAATTTGATAACCCAGATGAAGTGGACCAATCTGTTCAAAGACACAACCTGTCAAACATGCAAGAAGAAAGACACAATCTAAATAATTCTATACCTAGCAAAGAACTTTAGTCAATAATTAATAATCTTCCAAAACAGAAAGCACCAGGCTTAGATGGGTTCACTGGTGAATCCTACCAAACACTTAAGGAAGAAATTATACTACGTCTCTACAATCTATTACTACTTCTCTACAATCTCCTTTAGAAGATAGAAACAGAGAGAACAGTTCCTGTTTCATTCTATGTGGCCATGATTACCCTAACAGCAAAATAAGACAGACATTCCAAGAAAAGAAAACTACAGATCAGTATCTCTCAGCAACACAGAAGCAAAAATCCTCAAGAAAATATTAGCAAAATGAAAGCAACAATGTGTAGAAAGAATTATATATCACAACCAAGTAGGATTTTTCCAGATATGCAAGGCTGGTTCACCATTCTAAATCAATTAAGATAAGCCATTACATCAACAAGCTGAAGAGGAAAAATCACATGATCATATCCATAGATGCAGAAAAAGCATTTGACAAGTAAAAAAACTCTCAATAAACTAGGAATACAGAGAAATGTCCTCAACTTGATAAAGAATATCTACAAAAAACTTACAGCTAACGTCATACTTAATGGTGAAGAACTAGAAGCTTTACCACTAACATCAGGAACAAGGCAAAGATGTCCCCTTGTACTGGAAGTATTAGTTAATGCAGTAACACAAGAAAAGGAAATAAAAACTACACTGACAGGGAAGGAAGAAATAAGCTGTCTTTGTTTGTAGATGACATGACGGTCCATGTAGAAAATCCGAAAGAATCAACAAAAAAAAGTTGTGAAGCTATTGATTATAGCCAAGTTTCCAGGATACAAGGTTCATATATAGCAATCGTTTTCCTATATAACAGCAATGAATAAGTGGAATTTGACATTAAAAACATAATTGCAGGGGGCGCCGGGGTGGCTCAGTCAGTTAAGCATCTGCCTTCGGCTCAGGTCATGATATCAGGGTCCTGGGATCGAGTCCCGTGTTGGGCTCCCTGCTCAGCGGGGGGAGTCTGCTTCTTCCTCTGACTCTCCCTCTGCCCTGCTTGTGCTCTCTCTCGCTCATTCTAATAAATCTTTTAAAAAACTCATAATTTCATGTACATTTCACCCAGAAAAAATGAAATACTTAGGTATAAATCTAACAAAATACATACAAAATATATATGATGAAAATTATAAATCTCTGATGAAAGAAATAAAAAACAAAATAAATGGAGAGTTATTCCATGTTTGTGGACAGGAAGACTCAATATTGTCAAGATGTCAGTTCTTCCCAACATGATCTATAGTTTCAATCAATCCTAATCAAAATCCCAGCAAGTTATTTTGTGAATATCAAAAACTGCTTCTAATGTTTCTATACAAAGGCAAAAGACCCACAGTGATCGATATAAGTGAGGAACAAAGTGGGAGGACCAACAGTTCCTCACTTTAAGTCTTACATAAACCTATAGTAATCAAGGCATGTGCTATTGGTGAAAGAACAGACAAGCACATCAATGAAACAAAACAGAGATCCCAGAAATCGATCCCTATAAATACAAGTCAGCTGATCTTTGACAAAGGAGCAAAGACAGTCTTTTCAACAAATGGTGCTGGAATAATTAGGAAATCCACATGCAAAAAAGTTAATCTAGATGCAGACCTTACATCCTTCACAAAAATTAACTCAGAATGGATCACAGACCTACATGTAAAATGCAAAGCTATAAAACTCCCAGAAGACAACACAGAAGAAAATGTAGATAATTTTGGGTTTGGCGATGAATTTTTATATACAACTCCAAAGGCACGATCCACAGAAGAAAGAACTGATAAGCGGGACTTTAAAATTAAAACTTTCTGTTCTGTGAAAGACACTGTCAAGAGAATGAAAAGGCAAGCCACAGAATGAGAGAAAATATTTGCAATAAACGTATCTTTTTCTTTTTAAGATTTTATTTATCTATTTGACAGAGAAAGACACAGCTAGAGAGGGAACACAAGCAGGGGGAGTGGGAGTTTGGAGAAGCAGGCTTCCCGCTGAGAAGGGAGCCCGATGCGGGGCTGGATCCCAGGACCCTGAGACCATGACCTGAGCCGAAGGCAGACGCTTAATGACTGAGCCACCCAGGCGCCCCTGCAATAAACATATCTGATAAAGGACTATTATCCAAAATATACAAAGAACTCTTAAAACTCAACAATAAGAGGGGTACCTGGCTGGCTCAGGCAGAACACAAGACTCAATTAATCTCATGGTGTAGAAACTACTAAAAATAAACAAACAAACTTATAAAAAAAAACCCTCAATACTAAGAAAACAAACAACCCAAGACCTTAAGGGACACCTCACCAAAGATATATAGATGGCAAATAAGCATACAAAAAGGTGTCATTAGGGAGATGCAAATTAAAATGAAAAACCACTACACACTTATCACAATGCCCCAAATCCAGAACACTGATAACACCAAATGCTGGTCAGGATGCAAAGCAACAGGAACTCTCATTCAATGCTGGTGGGAATGCAGAATGGTACAGCCAGTATGGAAGCCACTTTGATGGTTTCTTACAAAACTACACAAATTCTTACCATGTGATCCAGCAATCACACTCCTTGGTATTTACTCAATGAAGTTAAAAACTTATGTCCACAAAAAAACCTGCAAAAACCTGCACACAGACGTTTATTTCAGCTTTATTTACAATTGCCAATACTTGGAAGCAACCAAGATGTCTTTCAGTAGGTGACTGGATAAATAAACTGTGGTCCATCCAGACAATGGAACATTATTCAGCGCTAAAATGAAATGAGCTATCAAGCTATGAAAAGACACGGAGGAATCTTTTTTTCCTTTCTTTTTTAAGATTTTATTTATTTATTTGAGAGAGAATGAGAGAGAGAGAGCACATGAGAGGGGGGAGGGTCAGAGGGAGAAGCAGACTCCCTGCTGAGCAGGGAGCCTGATGCAGGACTCGATCCCGGGACTCCAGGATCATGACCTGAGCCGAAGGCAGTCGCTTAACCAACTGAGCCACCCAGGCGCCCCGACACGGAGGAATCTTAAATGCATACAGCTAAGTGAAAAAAAGCCTATCTAAAAAGGCTACATACTATATGATCCCAACTATACAACATTCTGGAAAAAACAAAACTATGAAGAGAATAAAAATATCAGTGGGGGGGGAGGGAGAAGGGAGGGATGAGTAGTAAAGCACAGAGGATTTCTAAGCACAGTGAAAACACAGTTGACCCTTGAACAACATGAGTTTAAACTGCGTGGGTCCACTTATACTCAAGATTTTTTATTTATTTATTTTTAAAGATTTTATTTATTCATTTGACAGAGAGAGAGCACAAGTAGGCAGAGAGTTCAGTCTATGGCACACAGTTCAATGTCTGGCATACTGAACAAATGCCCAACAAACCAATGTTGAATAAAATGTAAAGTGTATTAACATTCAAAAAAATGTCTTAATAAAACAGAGAAATAGGAAGTGGTCACACTCTCAACAGCCTTAGTTTCATAAGGAGCTTGGCCTTGCCCCTACAGGTGGTAGGAAGCTACTCAAGTGGTCTCCAGATTGCAATGGCATCATCTGAATAGATTTATGTATTTACTTTAAACAGAGAGAAAGCACACGTGTGTGAGTGGGGTGAGGCGGAGAAGAGAATCCTCAAGCAGACTCCCCGCCAGGCACCGAGCCCAATGTGGGGCTGGATCCTACAACCCATGAGATCATGATCTGAGCTGAAACCAAGAGTCAGACGCTCAACCGTCTGAGCCACCCAGCTGCCCCGAAGAGCATTTCAGATGATTACTCAGGACAGACGAGTCTGGGGGACAAAGAAGCAAGAAGCTGTTCCAACAGTCCAGGGCAGAGAAAATTAAGCTCTGATAAGGGGAGAAGGAATTCAGGAGGAAGAACAGGTTTAAGAACTGTTGACATCTTAAAAGTAGTAAAACTGAGATACACACAGGATGAGGCTGAGGGAGGGAAGGCTTTAGGGTGAATCCCGTGCCAGCGCTTCCCTTAACTGTGTCCCGCAGGTGGTCCATATTCCGACAGGGGGTGGAGGGACAAGATTAGATGGGAGACGGGGGAGGCTGTAAATGACCATTTTAACTTTAGAACTGTGGAAAACAAAGGTGCCTCTCGCCACCTGCACAGAGAAGGACAAGACATGAGGGAAGCGCCCAGGCTATGATAACACTCGGTACCCCCACCACAGAGGGTATGAAATACAAGGGACTGGCACAGTAACAGGAGGGAGTGAAGGATGGGAATTTGGGGATAAGCCATGAGAATTGGCAAAAGAGGAGGAAGATGCCATGAGGAAGACAAAGAAATCAGAGCAGGAAAAAAGCCAGAACAATGTCACAAAATACCAGAGAAAGAGGCCTTTCTTGCAGGTCAAAGTGGGTTAACTGCCACATGCAGCTGAACGTTCTAGTAAAGTAAGGTCTGGAAAACATCTGTTGGGAGTCCACTGTAGAGACCTTGCTGTCAAGCTTTATCAGGACATATTTAGGCAAGTAGTGGGGAGGAAGTGAGGATGCATCCAGTGGATTAAAATGTGAAGGGATAAGCAGATACTTGTACCCGAATGTTCACAGCAGCACTATTCTAACGGCCAAAAGATGGAAACAATCCCAAGTGTCCATTAACACATGAATGGATGAACGAAAGGTGAGGCATCCGTACAATGAAAGATTCTTCAGGCGCTGAAAGGAAGTTCTGCTATATGCTACAACATGGATGAACCCTGAAAGCGTTATATGAAGTGAAAGAAGCCAGACACAAAAGGACAAAGATTGTGTGATTCCACTTATATAAAATACCTAGAATAGGGAAATTCAGAGACACAGAAAGTGGATTTGGTTACCAGTGGCTGGGGGGACCGGGAGTTACTGGCTAAGGATTACACAGATTTGTCTGGGGTGAGGAGAAAGTTATGAAAATAGGGATGAATGGGTACACAACATTGTGAACGTAATTCATGCCAAGCTGTACACTTATGATTAAATGGTTAAAATGGTGAATTTTGTTATATATACTTTATCAAAATAAAAGCGAGTGGATAGTGCATAAGCATTTGCCAAAGGCTATGAGTTTGAACAATCTGCCGTCCAACTGTTTAAGGAGTTAAGACCAAACCATCCGTTTCTCTCATGCCTCCAGAGAGCCTTAGGGTTTTGTCCCTAGATCACAGTGGATGTTCAGAAAGCTCTCCAGAGTCCAGCAGCACTTTGGTCCCTAATAAAACCTGAGTTCTGATCTCTACCTCAAGTGAAGAATGATTACAGGCAACCAGGGGGTCACCATAAGGTTCTTCACTACCTGAAGAACTTCAAAGACATTTTTTCCCAGACTCCAGAGTCATGAAGTCTTTCTGTCCCAGGAATAACTGGCTGGGTCCTCTTTGTGGTCACTGAAAACCCTGCGTAGGTCAGGAAGCTCAAAGACAAACGTGTGGCTCACCTTTGATGACTAAGGGGTTACATGACTTACAGCCACCACCACAGGTCACACAGGTACCACCCAGTCTTCATTTACCCAGAAGTAGCTTTTTATCTATTTCTACTTTAAGATATGAGCACACTTAGAAAAATGACAAAATCTGCTGGAAAATGAAATAGGGAATAAAAAAAGAACTCACCAGGGATTTGTTCATTTTCTGTTGTTCTTGGTAGAATGTCAAAAGCTGGGAAGGCACGCCTATAAGAGAAGGAAAGAGCAACAGGGTAATGAGAGCTGGCTGGCCCTGCAGCACCTCGATTCCTGTACAAACTTCTACACACCAGCTGGTTAACTTCTGATCCTGGAGAAGAGAAGGTAGGCAACATCCATCCCTCTGTGACTTTTTTTTTTTTTTTTAAGATTTTATTTATTTATTTGACACAGAGAAAGAACACAAGCAGGGGGAGCAGCAGAGGGAGAGGGAGAAGCAGGCTCCCCACCGAGCAGGGAGCCCGATGCGGGGCTCAATCCCAGGATCCTGGGATCAACCTGAGCGGAAGGCAGACACTTAACGACTGAGCCACTCAGGCGCCCCCACTCTGTGACTCCTTAAACCTGCAATGTTTCCTACTGCTTTAACTATGTCCCCCTCCCACTAACACAGAAACGCTTAAAACAGAACTTTTTTGAAGATTTTGAGAGAGAGAGAGAGAGAGAGTGTGTGTGTGTGTGTGTGTGTGCGTGCGTGCGAGTGCCCATGCGTGGGGAGGGGGTGCAGAGCAGAGGAAGAGGGACAAGCCGACTCCCCATTGAGTGCAGAGACTGATAAGGAGCTCAATCCCATGACCCCAAGATCATGACCTGATCAGAAATCAAGAGTCGGATGCCCAACCAACTGAGCCACCCAGGTGCCCCTTAAAACAGAACTATTAAGCAAATACTGGCATGTCAAAATATGAATTACAATGTCTTCATTAAAACTGATCTTGTAGGGCGTCTGGGTGGCTCAGCTGGTTGAAGCACCAACCCTTGGGTTTGGCTAGGGTCGTGATCTCAGGGTCATGGGATAGAGCCCCTCCAGGGGCTCCATGCTGAGCATGGAGGCTGCTTGGGGTTCTCTCTCTTCCTCTCTCTCTGCCCCTCCCCCCACCACTTGCTCACCAGCTCACCAGTGCACTCTCTTTCTAAATAAGCTAATTAAAAAACAAAACAAAAAACCTGATGTTGCAGGGGAAAACAAACCCTAAAAGCTATTTTGTGTATCTGATTTACTAACAATAAAATTCACTCCTTGAGTCCAGAATCCTCAAAGCTTTGGAAAAAGGGGTAGGTACCTTAAACGTAAGTCTTTTAAGAAACTGTTTCTTCTGGGGCACCCGAGTGGCTCAGTCGTTGGGCGTCTGCCTTTGGCTCAGGTCGTGATCCCAGGGTCCTGGGATTGCTCCACGGGGAGCCTGCTTCTCCCTCTCCCACTCCACTCCCCCTGCTTGTGTTCTCTCTTTTGCTGTGTCTCTCTCTGTCAAATAAATAAATAAAATATAAAAAAACCACAAAAAACTGTTTCTTCTAATTCGACTGGTGTTTCTCAAAAGGATCTTTTAAGAGGAAACTTACTTTGATGTTGTTGTGTGGACTGCACCACACGAGAAGTCCAGGACTCTGGCGTCTACTCGCCTCTTATTGATCCTAGACAAGTCATTTCCCTCCTCCAGGTTCTTTTCCCCTCTTCTGCCAAATGAGACAAAAACAGAAAACTCTGGCAAACCCTCCCCGAACTACTACTCTTCACTCTGTAAGATCAGGAAGACACAAGAACACATCTCCAGATGCCTGACCTGGTGACTGGTCCCGGTTAGAAAGCTGCCCACCTTCTGGAAAGAATCAGTGGAGAATGACGGGAGGGAAGAGTGCCCTTTGGGGTGGGGCTGAAAATAAAAACTTCCCAGCTGTAAAGCCAAAGAGGTGATATTTCTCACTGTCTGTCCCCTGCCACCACTTGGCCCCAGGCTCCCTTCTCCCGTCTGCAAAGTGACTCACAGCTTCTGAACGTGGTGAAATCACTCGGGGCCCCATATGCTCTTTTTCTGCCTCTTCTGAAGCTCTGCAGAGGGTTCCTCCCGGTGAGATTCCCGTTCCTGAAGTCCGGCCCTTCTTGAGTAGAGCTGCTTTGTTCCAGGAGAGCCTAGGGGACAAACTCCCTCCAGCTGGAGCCTTCATCAGGAGCCCCAGATCCGCCCTCCCGAGAACACACGGCCCCTCTCAGGGGACGCAAAGCAGGGGGCCGAGGACAAAGGCGGGCTGGCCGCGGTAAAGTGCTCTCAGGCCCTGGGCAGCGCAGATTCAGGGGGGCCCCCGCGCCCGGTGGGGCGGCACACGGCGGGGAAGCCCCCGCGGCTCCCGCACGCCCAATCTTGCAAGGACCCAGGGAAACGCTAAGGAGCCCCGGGATTCACAGCGCCGCGGGCGAGCCGAGCACACACATTTCGGTCACGGGTGTGGGGCCTCGGCGCCGGGCTCTGATGGATGTACGGCATGCAGATCGCGCACCCGGTCCCCGTCCTACCTCGGCGACCCCCCGGCCGGTGGCAGCCGGCGTTCAGTGCTGCGGGACGCGGTCGGGCCCCTTCCGCACCTAGGAGGATGGAGACCCCGCGGCGAGCGCGGCCTCCCCCCAAAACGCGGCCCTTCTTGCGGGTTCACTCGGGGGATCCAGAGGCGCCCCCATTCTGGGTGGACACGGCCCCCGCCGGGGGGAGGCGACCTGAGCGGGCCGGGGTCTACCGGCCCCTCCCCACGCCCCGCGCCGCAGCCTCGGGCCGCCCGCGCAGACCACAGCCCTGACCTCCCAGGCCCACCGCCCGCCGTCGCGCGTCCGCAACCACACCCGCGCCCGGAGAGGTCCGAAACCCCCAGAACGCCCCGCGGCGGAAAGACGCGCGCCTGCGCACTGAGCCCGACGCGGGCCTGGCGACGCCCGCCACGACCCCCACGGAAGGCTCCGCCCATGTGCGGGGCGGGACCTACGCGGACCCGCCCGCCCCGCCCCCACATCACCCCACTCTGCCCCTCCCCAATTTCACCCCGACTCCCACCCCACCTCGCCCCCACATCACCCCAACCCACCCCCGCATCACCCCGCTCCCACCCCACCCTAGCCCTCCCCAAATTCATCCTGACTCCCACCCCCACCGCGCCCCCACATCCCCACTCCCACCCCGCCCTGCCCCCACGTCACCGCACTGCCACCGCTCCACGCTCCCACATCACCCGAGTACCCCACGTCTCCCCAACCCCAGCTCCGCAGCCTCTCCTGCCAGGTGGTGAGGGGCCTCCTCAAAGCCGCCAAACAAGGTAGAGATTCGGCAATACAGATGAAAAGTTTTAACCAAATTAGCCCTTGCATTCAATTGCCCAGCCAAGCAATTTTTAAAAGATGTGAATGAAAATGAAATAAAGGCGGGGATGACAAAAATTTAAGACAAAATACACAAAAATCGAAGTTAAGTCAAAACGCACAGAAACGAAAAGAGAAAAAGCATCTCGCACCTTCTCCTAGAGATGACTATACTGAACGGTTAGGCGCCCAGCCTTCTGACAGTTTTACCGTAAAGAAAAAATAAAAAAGGATCACGAGGGGCCAGGGCACAGGGCACTGAGGACACTGTAACTCTGTACCAAATGAAGGGGCCTTTGAGATTGGTGGGAGAATAAAGTATGCCATACATCGTTAGCTCAACCAGTGACCACGCTCAAATACAGTTAAGGTTAAATACTGAGCTCACACAGCAGAATAAGTTTGACCTGGAGTCAAGATTTTTAAAATTTAAAAGCAAATTCTTTCTTTTTTTTTAAGATTTTATTTATTTATTTGTCAGAGAGAGAGCACAAGCAGGGGGGGGCAGCAGGCTCCTTGCTGAGCAGGGATCCTAATGCAGGACACCATCCAGGGACTCTGGGATCATGACCTGAGCCAAAGGCAGAGGGAAGGCAGACGCTTAACCGCCTGAGCCGCCCAGGCATCCCTAAAAGCAAATTCTTAGAGCGTAAGTGAATTTTAGAATATACAACCAATGGATAGGAAACACGGGACAGCACGATAAGAAACCATTAAGATCTGAAAACTAACTGGTCTTATGTTAGAAAGTTAACACATTTCAGTTTCAGATTAAAAATTGGAACAGCTTAAAGACAATCTAGGAAGAGATCTTTATACATAAGAAACAAAGGCTTTATAATCTTAATTTATTAAGAGCTCTTACAAATCATTGAAAAGATCAGCATTACTATCGTCACTCCTTTAAGATATGGAAAAGGGAGGGGAGGCTTTGTGGCTCAGTCGTTAAGCCTCGTTAAGCGTTAAGGGTCCTGGGATCGAGCACCGCACTGGGAATCCGGGCTCAGCGGGAAGCCTACTTCTCCCTCTCCCGCTCCCCCTGCTTGTGTTCCCTCTCTCGCTGTGTCTCTCTGTCAAATAAATAAATAAAATCTTTAAAAAAAAGATACGAAAAGGGAATTAATAAGACAAGATGGAAGTGGAAGATAAATATATGAAAAAGTCCCTCATGACAAATAACAGACGTGCAATGTTTAAGACATTTTTGTCTGGCTCAGTCTGAGGAGGATGCGACTCGGATCTTGGGAGGGTGAGTTCGAGCCTCATACTGGGTGTAGAGATAACTTAAAATAAATAAATAAAACACTTTTTAAAAAGATATTTTTGGAAAATAAAATTTGAAAAGAGTAAAATAGTAGTATCCAGGGTAGGTACAGATTGAGAAAAATATTCATTTCCCTCATGTCTAGTATGAGGCTAATTCATACAAACTTTCTGGAAGCTACTCTGTATTGACAATAAAAAATACCCTTTAATTCCACATCTTATAGTGGTTATTAATGAAATAATCATCCAATGATATATGTATATGAATCTTGTTCAATTTAGTTGTAATAGAAAAATAATGGAAGCAATATAAATTTAGACAATTTAAATGTCTAATCAATGCATATGTAAAATACACTGCAGAAGGTTTTAGCCATTCAAAACAATAAGGTAAGGTAAATAACTCACATGTAACAATGTTCATGATAGATTTTGGAATCAAAATATTCTCAAAGATATAAGATGGGGTTCTGGGGCGCCTGGGTGGCTCAGTCATTAAGCATCTGCCTTCGGCTCAGCTCATGGTCCCAGGGTCCTGGGATCGAACCCCACAT